TGTCCAAGATAACTCCCTGATTTTTCTTTTTCTTCATTTCTGTATGCTTGTAGAAATAAGCATTGATGTGTTGCCCGATGAGCGACTGTACCCATTTACTCAAATGTTAGCATTAAGAACGTCTATTAATTATCACCATTTTAGTACCCAGTCGTCCTCAAATATCAGACACATTACAGAACACTTTGCCACATATTCCTTTAGTGGCCTATTAACAAAATGATCAACTAATAAATCCCTGCAGACCCTTACATACTGACTCGAATGCATTAGCCACTAAAGACATACATAAAAAATCTCATTCATCCCACCAAGTAAATCTATGGAAATCAATCACTTGAAACTAATTTAAGTTCGCCTCATAAAAGAGAAACTACTTCAAAAGGTGGACATCACAGAAAATTTTAATCATGAAGCATACAATGTACGTATAAATAAAACCAGCAAGGATATTTTGAGATCTCAAGCATATAATGTTATGTCTACTTCTGTGTTAAACATAATGAATTTCCTCTGGTCAGACCAACATGCATTGCAGATATCTGCTAGAGAAAGATCAAGGAAACAACATGTAAAAACATAATATAGAATTTGCTGTTTTTTTTTCCCATAATCACCTGAACCCCGTCAGTCTATGGGCAAGATCCGATGACTAGAAGTCCCCATTCAGTTTAGAATTGCAGATGAACCATTGACTTCTGTCGTATCAATTAAAGAAGAAGGCTGGATGTTCTCTGCACATAACATAGTATTAGCTCCTGTGGCTGGAAATATTACAGAATAAAAAGAATAACAGAGTTTGTGCCTGATCCCTATGACTAAAATGAAAAGAGCTCACTGAAGAATGATCAGCTCACCAGATTCTTTCGGATGATTAAACCAATTTGTTGTAACATATGACATAAATTCACTCTACATAACACGCGTAGATTAAGTTTCTGTCGATTAAACAAAGCCCTGTACCAAGACATGCACAAGAACAGTAATACTGGGTCGCATTAAAATACGGTCACCAAGCATGTTCCTTCAGTTAGAGCTTGCAGCATTGAAATTTTGACAAAACTTCTCATTACTAGCGGCACCAAACTGAAATTACAAACAAGCATACGATGCGCTCTTGTCAATACATATACACTCTTGTCAATACTGAAGAAAAGAAAAACTATAGAAAGAACTTCTACAGTCAAATGTTGCTCATGCACAACAAATTCTATGAAGCAGAAAAGCGTTAGAGATCGCCAATCCGAAGAGTTGATATCGCAGGAGGCAAAGTATGATTTTACTTTTTTTTTTACCATCTACAAGGCATGAATCCATGAGCTCCTACAAGTAACCAACAGAGAGAGGGCTAAGGTATTTGCTTGTGGGGAAATTCTCTAAAATTCACTATATTTCTGATTATGAAGTTTATCCAAAAAAAAATGGAAACTCTAGAGTAATTAGTTAAACACTACATCAGTTATTTTCATGATTGCCCACCA